TGTCCCATGTCTTTTTAGCTACCTCACCCCTGGATTGCACCCAGGAGAAATCCATGTTCTGTCGTCTCAGGTAAGAAACCACAACCGGTTGATCTGTGTGCCGGAACGCAGGAAAATGGCATCAAATGTGACCAAAGGCTGCAAGAACAGCTGAGGTTTGAGCAGCACAGCCAGCGGCAGAGGGAAAGGAAGAAAGGAAGTGAGGGCAGAGAGGGGGGTGGAGGGCGAGAGAGTTGAAGTGATTTACTGGAGGCCTCACCGCAGGATTCTGGGAATCTCCCAGCAGTCCGTACACGCGGCGCTCACCAGCCCTAATGAGCTCAATTACAGGGTAGCGAACGCCGTGTGCTGGTAGCGCTGCCAGGTTCCTGTTTTCTCCTTCCCCGCCTCTTTTTCTTCAAGCCTCAACAGTCCATGCTCTCCTATACAGCTTTTTCACAAGTTTTTTTTTTCCTCACTCTCTTCCATCTGGCTGTTCCACACTTCCCCCTCCCCCTCCTTCTGTGCCACGTCTCTCTCCTTCACTAAATCTGGCCCTGCATCACAGTCTCGATCCCGAGTTGTAGCGCCGGGCTTCTCCCTTCTGCTCCGTCTGCTGTCCGTTTCCCTCCTGACGCCTCAGCCACCTAATCGGCCCTTGAGATGATCCGTTGGTATTTTATTTTATTAATTGGCCATGGCATCGTAGTATTCTCTCAGCTGTTTTGAAATTGCGTTTTGCTAGATCTCTAAAGGACTCGATTCATCTTTTAGCACCAGCAGACGCAGGCTTTCCCCGGTCACAGAATGTCCCGTCTCGTGTTGATCAGTCCTCTAGTCTTTAGTGTTGGCCTGGGGGTCTGCAGTCCCCTGTGCTGGTGTAGTGTAAGGGTCTGTATTGTGTGCTGTTGGTAACGCTGCATGTGCCGGTGGTTAACGATAAGCTTTGCTGTCTCCCGTGGAGTGGGGGCCGGGAGAGGGAGGGAGAGCTGCGGTACTACCCCTTCCGACTGACGCCCTACCAGCTGACCCTGCGCGACAGCGACCAAGCCGAGCCCCAGCCCTGCTGCCTGCTCATCGCAGAGCGGGTCCATTCTGGATACGAGGGTATGAGTCCCCGTCTGCCTGCCTGTGTGCTCTGTGCCCACACGCATTTTCACACAC